GAAGATTTTCAAAATGTTTGCTTAGCTTTTTGCACTTCACTGAGCCTCCTAATCTAAGAATGTCTGTTGAGAATATAGTATTCTGCCTGCTCATTTATGTCATACCAGGAAAAACCATTTATGACATTTTCTCCAATATCTTTATTAAGGTATTTAATTTCTTAATACTTTTAAAACCTCCTGAGTTTTATCTGGAGTCATTTCCCTCATCTCTTAATAAAATCAGTCATGGATAACTTGAAGCATAACTCCCATCCATGTCTGTATTACTTCCTCAAGGAATTTTTCTCAACTTATAAGTCACCTCAGAAGTCATGCTGTGAATGAAATGCGAAGTCACCTGGTAACTTTTTTTAAGTTTATATATAAACCTTATTCTTTATGCCTGGCTTCATACAGGTGCATGTGTGCATGGATAGACATATAGAACACAGAAAACTCACGTTACCCATTTTTTAAAAAAAGTCCTTGTTATTAATTCATCTTTTTCTGTTAGGATCACAGTTTGATTGAAAGATAAGTTATGCTGCTAAATTGTTATTTTTTATAAAAAATATTTATAAAAATATATTTTTAATATAAAGATCTCCAGATTCCTGATAGTACTTTTAGCTACTCTATAGTAGCAGAACATCTTATAAACACGTGTATTAGTTTTTAAAACAAGTTTAAAATGCTAGCCCTAAGGAACTGATATGACTAGAGCAACAGAACTTAGTAAGAATACATTAACTGGTAAATGAAAATGTAGGGATTATCCCTGAAATGAACAAATCTCTGTCCCCTCACTCCACCACTAAGGCCTCAGTGTTTGAATAATTTTTTCAAGTATTACTTGAAAATGTTGCCCTATGCTGCCATGAGGTTATTTATCACCTAAAAGCACCAATTTTAATATAGCTTCCCTAAAAACAGTAACTGCTTGTGAAGCTGTCAGCAAGATAAAGTGAGCATTGGGTTTAGTTTTCCGCTATTTACCCTGGTCTTGTTGGAACAGCAGGCTTCCAGTTTTCTTATCCTGTTTTAAAGTATTTCCAGGGCTGCATTATCCCATTTGTTTGCTAAATGCATCCTTTCCTCCAGATATATATGAATACTGAGAAAAGAATTTGAAAAGGAAATGCCTTGCTTCCCACCAGTGCTCTGTTGGCTGTCACTTGCAGGAACAGCACTGGCTAAGGCTTAGCAAGTTGAAAACAAAAATTGTTTTTACAAGATTACTGAGCTATTGCAGCTGGAAATGCTCTTCAGCATTAGGCTGTTCTTGGGCAATATTGCCAAAACAGATACTGTTGGATGTATTTAATATTCGGCAAGCATGGCTGAACTACTAGTGAAGGACTGCAACCCTGTCAGCATTTAAGATGTGCTGTATTTGAAGTCAAAGGTGACATTCTTGGACTTTAAAAAGTCTGGTTATTCATCAAGACAAAGCTAAGCAACTTGTATGGTGAGCGGCTAAGTTTCTTCCTTGTAATTCACTTCAGATACAAAAGACACGGTGGTATAAAATCTTGGCACATAGCAAGTGTTCTCCTTTTACTGTGCACACCATTTCACTGACTACTTCGCGCATTCCTGCAAACCCTTTCTTTTCATGACTTCATGTCAAAGCAGTAATTATTCACCTTTTTCATGCTTAGAATCTTTCCAGTTCAAATTACAAAGGTCTTCCAAAGGTCACTGGCTGAAATTCAGTTTTTGGTATGAAGCAGCATTCTCTTCTGAGACCGAAGTATCAGCTGGTTAGGTATAATGTACATGATTGTGAAACACCATCGTGGTGTTTTCAGGTCAGGCACCCAGATTACACCCTTTATTTCTCTATGCTACAGCCAGATGTGAGTGTCATGAGCAGTAGTTGTTAGGGGTAGAATTAGAGCAGTGCATGTGGCTAAGGGAAGAACCAAGAGTGCTGAGTAGAAAAGGTTGAACTCTGCTTTCTCTGTGTCCCAGCAGGCCAGCATCACTTGCTGGCAACTAAAGGAAGCGGAGGACTGATGCAATTTGGCTGGACTTCGTAAAGACTTCTGTATAACAACTCTGCTTAAGCTTGGCTCCAAGCAGAGTAGTCAGATATTGTATGGGAAGGGCTACACTATTGCTTACAGAAATGTTAGTCTGCTGTGCATTCCCCTATCCTCTGCAAAGACAGAGGCAACAACTGAGGAAACAATGGCAGACAACGAAGCTGGGGAATATGAAAAAATTCTGTGCAAGTGAAAAGCCCTTGTAACTTTTTCATGACTTTGACTATACTAAACTGGCATCTCTGAACATCAGTAAAAATCTCCTGCCCCTCCAGAGCTGAGTGTTACTGAATGTTACTGTGTGCCACTAGTGCAGTCTTAATGCCATCAGACTAGGGATACAAAGGAAAAACAGGGGCACAGAAGCAAGATCTGAGCTGGCTGCTGCCAAGCCATAGCAAAGCTCAGCAACACTGAAATGCGTAACCCAGGAAGAAATTCTTGGAGCTTTATACTAAACTCATGGTTTTGTTCCTGCATGAAGCTAGCTATAAAGAGGCAATTTGGCATCTTGTGGGAAAAGTATGCATAGAGTCAAAGCTGGGACAGAACAAAAAAAGGCACTAGTCTGGAGCCAAATGATAATGTTCAATAAAGTTTTACAATATATGAAGCAAAGGGAAAGCAGTCTGATAACCATCTACCATTGCACCTGGCAGATGGATTAAAACTCATTTACTTTCATTCTACAAAGAGAAACAGAGCCACAGTTTGGTGACTGCCATAGTGGATTATTTTTGCCTCTAGCTTTGCACACAAAAATCAATTCAAGTGTGGAAATGAATCTGAGTACAGGAAAGTGAGCCAATACTGTCAGCACAGAATAACTGATGCAGCAGCAGCAGCAATAACAGAACTTTTTCCAGAGAAAAGCTATTTATGAAAAAAGTAATTTCCTATTTCAGTAAAGGCAAGTTAGACTGCAGAAAGATCATGTGAACTTCCCAGCTCTCAATTACATATTCACACATTTGTAAAGTTCCAGAAACACTTTATTTAAAAATGGAGTTGTAAATGCATATAACAAAATAACATACATAATAAATGTAACAAAAATAAATAAGGAGAACATGTTCATACAAAATAAGAACAGAGTAATGCAAAATGCTTATTACAGAACACAAAGGTATAAATGCCTGAAAGAACACAAACAGAATCTCGTATGAAGAGCCTGCACCTTTAATCCTTCCTAGCCATCCCCTGCTTTCCACTTGAATTTGCAGAAAAATTATGTTCCCAAGCATTAAAAAAAGAAGGAAATATGGTGATGGTTTGGTACAATCGGTTTTCAACACTTAGCTCTAATTTCCATTTATTTTTGCCCTTCAGCACCTTCAAAAAGTTTTCCCGTAGCCTCTGTAAACCAGTGTCATTCAGGCTCCCAGTTAGCTGGAGTAGAGCATATTGAGTCATACATGAAGACTGTTTGCTTTTATTTTTTTTTTAAAGAAAATACGAAATCCATTATACAACAGATTAGTGGTTTTGTTTTTACAACTCTACAAAAAAAGTTTTTGCATTTTTATTAACTGGTCCAACTTTTACTGATTTCCGAAAGCCTGTACAATTTAAAAGTGTACAGAAAGTAGGTTTTTTTAAAAACAAATGTCATATAGGATTATTGCTGAAATATTAAAGACCATTTCATAAAAGCTGCAAAACTGTATCTTTAACCTTAATATATAGAGACTGATGCAAACATAAGAAAATTCCAGTCTATTAGTTACATTTAACAGAAAAAACATTCCTCCAAATTACAGTGTTCTGGAAATACAAAGTAATTTACTTTTATTCTTACTATTATTTCCGAATGTTAAGTTACTGGGACAACTGATAAGGAAAATAGGCTTATATAGGAAACTTTAAATAGACTTGCTTTTCAGCGGTATAAGCAAAATGTCCATGTTAGCAGTCGTCTTCCAGAATCCTTTTAAATATGTAAGACAGGGACAGCTTTACTAGCAAAACTACAGGAAAATATACAGAAGCAAATAAAATCATTTGCTTGGGAGTGTATCTATTGATTAAGCAAATCATGACAACTCTTATTTCCAAGTCCCCTAAAGAAAATTTTACACCTCATGATCATTCCAAATAAACAGTAATTTCTTCTGTAAGCTTACGCTGCATTTGGATTGGTGAGAGCCCATTTGCCTCAACATACTTTAACGTGTCCCACATTGCTGAGTGTTTAAATTTATTTCCTAGTTTCAACAAATATTTGGACAGAAATGAGATACGAAATACTTCTACTGTCATTAACATCAAAAAGACATTTGAAGATCAAAAAGTGCCAAATAGTCCTTTCAGAAAGTGGATTAAAACACTGTAATGATAATACAAGGACAGTATTATCAGTTTTCTATGTACACCAAAACACTGCTTGCTGTTTAATGATATTGATATGTTCACCTACCACTCCCAGCAAATCTTAGTGCAAACATAATATGTGAACTCATTTGTAAACCCCAAGACAATTTACGCAGCAACAAGGTTATATAAATCACAGAACTGTTTGAGATTTTCCAGTATATGAGAATGAATGCTTTCTGAAGTCTGTCTTACTTTTGCAGTAATGTGTCACTGTAGTCAAAGATAATGTTTCCTATATAAATCATCCAATTCAGAATCAAATGTAACTGTTCAACAGTTCTGTATAAGTTTTAATGGAGGAAGTCCATTCATTAGAGCAGCTTGGCAAAGAGATTTGGGGTTTCCATAACATTAAATGTTAGACCACTTGCATGGCTTTTAAAAAGAAATAAATCTATTAAGGGAAAACTGCTGATATAGTAATTCTTTTGCAAAGCACACAACCACAAAGGGCAAACCTGCCACAATCTGCTTTCCTACACTGGTATCTATGCATAACTTTATGATTTGAAAAGGATTTGTGTGACAATCAAAGCATCACAATTAAAGAAAACTGGTTTAATAAAACAACTGCTGTTTGACCAAGCCTTTTTTTTTAATTATAAAAACCAATATTATAATTTTTCCTTGATTTCTAAACATTCCACATGAAAGGTTTTTGTATCAAACACCGAGATGTCACTCACGCAGGGTGGCATCTTCCTCTTCCCCGTCTGGGTTAAACCTATTGAAATGTATGCTGAAATCTGCCTCAGATTCAGCATTTTCAAATTCAGGTGCAACAGGGACGGTGGCAGGTCGAACAGCCCGAGCTTCGGGCTGGCAGTTTGGCTGCGCTTGAGCGCGGGTACCTTGGGAAACAGGACTGGACTTCGGCTTCGGCTGAGCTGGTAAGATGGGGCTGCTGAATCCCAAGTTGCTCAAAGCATCCAGGGTACCATCAGGGTCAATCATAGCATTAATTGCTAAGCAACAAGAAAAAATGAAAAGGATAGGGAAGAAACCATAAAAAATATGATTTTCTGTTACTATACAAATACCGAAATCCTTTTCTCACACTTTTCTTTTTATGATGGCAGACATTAGTTTTTATGTGTGCTGTCCAGGACAAAGCAGGGGCATATCCAACATAGATATAAACTAAGCAGTCAGTTAGTATCTATTTAGTCAGTTTATATGGCTTTTTCTCCTGATGTTACCATTATATTATTCTTTGTTCCAAGCCACCCCCTGGAAATAGCCATAGTTGTTAATTCCATGAATGGATGAAATTTGTATAAAAGAGCAGTCATCTATCCATAGTGGGAGCAAACTGAAACAATCTAGTACCATTTAATTTTATTATACTACTAACATATTTGTCACATTTAACAGAACTTCTCTTTTTTGTTTCCAAAATTGTACTAACATCTATTTGAACACCACTGCATACACAAGGAAACAATCTGGCCTCATTTATTTATGTTCTCTAAACACAATATAATTTCTAATGAACTGACATTTTTTAATTATAGTTGAGCATGAAACAAAAACTAATTTGTTTCTAAAGGTGGTTAATGATTCCTCCTGAAACATTCTTTTTTAAAACATGTTTTACAAAAGATTAAATCTGAATACTACAAAAAACAAATATAGGAAATTTACAACTAACATAATAATGATAAGCATGGACCACTAATCCATTTGTCCACCACTGTTACTAAAAAATAAACTAAGTATAAACAATACACAACCTCTAAATATAAACAAGACTGCAACCTCTTTTTAAAAAATACTCAGTTTTTAAGTTGATTTTGATAAATGGAATATATGTCTAATTAGCAGACCTTTTAAGCAAAACATACTTCTTTCTACTTTACATATAGATAAGACCTTATATGTGAAAAGCGAAATAACTTTTCGATTTTGTAGTCTGCGGGTTCCATAGTTACAACAATTGGATTTTGCAGTGTGAAGGGAAGATGCCAAGAGCCAATTCTAAATTTTCATTTCATCATAATGGAGACAGTTGTGGGGTTTTTTGAGATTTCCTACAGATTACGGTCTCAGTGCATGCCTTATACTGAATTGTGCTACACATGGGGGTATTACCGATGTGCAGAGTCTATTTCATGAAGCCTAATCTCAGGATTCTCTATCACCTACTCTTCAATATTTACAGAAATATTTCTATTAAGAATGTTTCACAAATAATTACTTTGGGATTCTTAAGACTACGCAATTCTTAGTCGAGCCTTTTCTCATCATATAAAAAGATACGATAAAAAAACCAGTGATGTTTGTTTACCAAATGTGCCAGCAATTATATGATATTAATGTATGTAACTGATACTGTGAACATATTTTAATATATCGCAGTAACTTTATTTCATGGTATAGATATACACATATATATTAAACAAATTTGAACCAAGGAACCACAGAAGAGAAAAAAGATTTGTACCTTGCAGCTGTTTCTCGACTCGTTTCAGTTCCTGTAAGATTGATGATATTTCCTAGAGGAGAAACGATCATGTTTCATTATGGAAAAAGAGACTATCAGTAGTGAACAATGCCACTCCTCAAGCTTTGCAATTGCAATACGCTATTTGGGTTGACCCTCCTGGCATCAAGAACACCCTTACTGGTGGTGACCCAGTCAAGTCCCCCACAGGTCCTGGGTGGCAGCCCTTGAAGCTGGAGAGCCATGTCTCACTCAGAATCTAGAGCTCCTCCACCCTGGATGCCTGCTATGGTCCATAAAACCCCACCCTGTCCCTTGCTCATCTGGCTGTGCCACCTCTGCTCAAGCACAGACTTACAGATACCATGGTTCTGTAGCAATTGGGCACAGCAACAGCAAACTTTTAAAGGAAAGTCACAGGATAAACCCAGTATTAAATGGAATCGAGTGACTTATAACCTTGCTCAGATGAGAGTCAGAAAGTGAGATGACTGCATCAGGATTCTGTCTGCAACATTCTATCTGTCCCCTTTGCCCACAAGACCCTGTACAGCACATCAGTGTTGGGGCCTCAGCACTCATTTGCCTTAGAGACTTTTCTCCACTGTGCTGCACTACTTGTTAACACAGATGTAGCCACAGCAATGAACTCAGAAACAAAGCAAATGTACTGTACCTTAAACTACAGAATCACAGAATATCCTGAGTTGGAAGGGACCCATCAGGATCATCGAGTCCAACTCCTGGCCCTGCACAGAGCACCCCAAGAATCATACCCTGTGCCTGAGAGTATTGTCTGAACACTTGAAATCTGACAGGTTTGGTGCCATGACCACTTCCCTGTGCCATGTAAATCCTACAACTGAAGGATCCTACACTGAAGAATAGTGTTAATCCAACTACTGAGGAGAGCTGTCAGTGGTATTCTAAAGCTGAGAATTTTCAAAGGCACTGATTTCAGAAAACCATTTAACCCATCTCAGGAAGCCATTTTGTACTAAGTACTGTGATTTTTGTGTGTGGCAAAGAGATTGATTATCTTGAATTTTACACAGTCATTATGTTTAAGAAGATTCCACATCTGGGCTGGACATCAATGTTCCAAGGATAAAACAAACATCAGTTATAACTGTCCTCCCTTAAAATTTAATAATCATCTGTGGTAGAAATAAGCACTGCATTTGAACAATATATTGCTCTGAAAACTGAGTAGAAACTTGAAAATCATAAACAAAAAAACACCCCGAAGAACCCATTCACTTTCAAACAATGTGAGATGCTTTAATAAATTGAAAAAAATTTGTAGAATGATGAACTTAGGAATAAATATACAACAAACATTTTTTCTTTTTTAAAGAATCAACTGAACCCCCATATTCAGGACAAAAGACTAAATTCGGATCTTATGCTGGACAAGGATAAGAGAAACTCCTTATATTATAATATTTCTAGAATTAGAAACTTCCATGAGGAACCTGCTTAATTAAACTTTAAAAAAATTTAAAAAACCCTATCAGTGAATCTATTAAATTATAACACTGCATTACTAATGATTGCTCTTAATAAATGTACCATTCTGCAGAATTACAGGCCAAGCTTTCCATACTTCCAGGAAAAATCAATCTGGAGGAGTTTAATAACTCACGATGAGCTAACAGAAAAGCGCTAGCCTGTTCAATGCCAGAGGAAATGTATAAGCATTTCACTTCTGCGCAGTCCAGTACAAAGTATGTGAGTAGTTTCCTCTCCCACCTTTCCCTCAGAAAAAAAACCTGCTTCTGTAAGCTGACATTCTTAACAGCATGGTACTGCAGATGGATAATGTAACTAGACTCGCTGCCTGCTCTCACATTCAAGGATGTTTTTCAAATGCTACACTCTGTGTTCAGAAGTAAAGGAGAAGTATACTAAGAAATAACACGTGCTCCATCCCCTCACACTGTCACACAGTCTGGTCATGAAATGGCCTGAATTAGGCAGGGTGGAAGAGTATATGAATCAGCTGGAGCTGTAGTGGGTGCCCTATGGTTATCGCTTCCAGACAAAATCAAGAGGATTATTTTTCATTGAGGAGTCCTTTTATTGCCATGCGTCTATGGATTATTTTCATCACATGTAGCAAAACACAACAATTTCTCTAAATATTAACAATCAGTGTTAATAGTATTAAGTATTAATGATAAGTAGGTAAAGTAGTTTTTAGACTGTAAAACAAGTTAATTTGAAAGCAATCTAACATTAAAACTAATGGTTGTTACCTTTTGTTAAACAAATGTACTGATGGTCTATACAGTCTGAATCCCTTTGACTGCATTCTTTATCTGAGAATTTCCCCTGAACAATTCCTTGTTTCTTTATAAGACAGTAAATCTTAGTAATTATTAAAGCAGATTAGGTTTATTCTTGAAATATATGTGGTGTCTAAATAAAACCTTTTAAAATTTTTGTCCTTATGTCACTGAAAACAACACATTCCTCTACTGATTATTTAGATGTTAGATAAGCAGCATAATCAGTCCTAGAAAAGAACTATTCATACCATGCTTGATGTTTTCACAATAGGAACTTCACTTTCAGCTCGCAACTTGTTTTCAATTTCTTCCCAATTTCTATCTTTGTCTTTAAATAATATTCTAGAAGAAAGAAATTTAAGAACACTGTTTAAAAAAACCAAAACACACCCACAAATTAAAACTGAAAGATTAGATAATACAATACGAGAAAGTGGCATAGGGAGCACTGAATAAAAGTAAAATCTGAAATATTGAAACCTGACAGAATCCAATCATACAGTTTAAATTTTCAGGGAAGCATATAGGGTTTCAGCAAAATCATTCTTATTGACATTAAAATGGCAGTTCTGTAGCTAAACACTTGCTTATGGAGTTGAAAAGACATAGATGTTTCTTTCCTCCAGCACGGAGACATTTCTTAAAAAATGCAACTATATTACTGTAGTCAGATAATTCCCCTTTAATACTGCATTTTATAACAACTGCAAAACATAAGGTAAATAAATGCATCTTTTACATTTCTATTTTATAATAATTTAATACAAAATAAAACCACTTCAGGAAATTAAAAAAAATACATTTCACAGAAGAAGTTTTTATTGAAAAGTCTCAATACATAAATTTTATATATATATATATATATATACATATATATATTTTTTTTAGTAGTATGAGTATCACTTGTATTACATGTTTAAAGAAGTATTTTATATTTGTAAAACCTCAAAGCATACTGTGAGATTTCCTTCTTTAATGTTTTGCTTCCCTGCTTGATAAATAGTTTTTGTTTGCATTGTCATATCACAAATATAATTTAAACTGTCTACACTGGTGCAATTGGAAAAAAAAAACCAAAATAAAACAGATATTTAAGGTCTGGTAAGTGACACCATGATGACATAGAGGAGTCCAAATCCACATCTTCTCAAATTGGTATTTCAAACAAATAGCTGCAGTAAAACTGCTAAGCAAACAAAACAACCAATTTCAAATCATGACCAAAAAGTAGTACATTTTAAAGAAATTATCTGTGTAAGTATGTCTCTGAAGAAAAAATTTTTAAGGTGGAAGTTCATGAAATATTGAATCTCATAAAGACTTTGAAAGAAAGCTGGAAGACTTGGTACTGCATTTCTGTTCACCTTTCTTCAGTTATTCATACCCTATGGAAAATTCTACTCTCTATTATTATCCTGTCAAGAAAGTCTAATTTTGCAAAATATTTACTACCCTGCCTTATTTTATCAGTACACAGATGTCCAGAGACAGCCTATCCAGAAGGTGCTTTAACTCTTCTTCTCTCTCTGAGGTCTTCGCTCACTGCTGCTTCAGAACGGGTTTATGTCGGAGGTTTCGCTGAGAGGAAGTGCTACTTTGATGACACAGTGTCATGGGATTAAGGCAAATGACCACTTCTGCCAAGTGACTTGGGTGTATTCAAGTAAGTCAGTTCATTCAAGGGTAAACATTAATACGTGCTTTTTTAGGGGGAAGGAAAAAAATAAAATTATAAGTAATCAAAACTGCAGTGAAGAAAACATGAAACCCTTTACGGTCTCAAATAGAGTCATCATCTTTTATAAAAGTTCATCATCAGAGGTCTGGCAAAATTTTCTTATGTTCCTGAAGGGAGTGCAAAACCTTGCAAAGATGTACAACTGCAAACCTGGATACCAGAAAGTCCAATTACAAGGGAAAATTTAGGATTTTCCTGTCACTGAGAAGTTCAAATAAACACGTTAAAGAAAAAAAAGGCATCAACACACACTGGAAATTAGCAGGAACATAGAAAATAAGGCTTTATTTAGCAGTAAACAACACTAGAAAAAAACCAATATAAGCTATTGTGACATTGTCTGATTTTTCATTTACCTTCTTGCCATGTTATTTTAAAATAATTCTGTCTTGATTCATTGTGATTAGTGCCTTTGCTTGTGTATGTGGTGTTCTCAGTCTTACTCTTTTAGAGATAATGTTCTTACTCCTCTTTTACAATTTGAAAACCTTTCATTTCATAGGTCACTTTATTAAAAAAAAGAGGAAAAAAATGAAAGCAGTAATTAAAAATTCTGAAACTGTTATTACTTTGACTACAAAGTGGGAAGGCCAATTTGTTTTTACTATAAATTTAGGAAGCCTATTTGCTTTTTACTTCATCTTTCTGAATTCTTCATTTAGTTCATTTTAACTTCCTGGGGGATCTTAATCTCTTGTCTGCTTTGACCGCTCTCTTTCTAACAGTATTCTTCAAGTTAAAAGAACATATTTATAAATGCCTGCTGCCTTCTGCTCTTGCTTTCCCCTACCTTCTGAGGCAAGTCTTACTTGACTGTGCTCAATCCTCATTTTTCTTTCACAGCACTTCGCAGGATGCACAGCAAACTGCAGAGACCAAGTAGTACCTTCACTGACCTGAATGCTTTGCCTAGATTTTGCCTGACTAAAGAGGCACTTGCCTGCTACACGCCAGTAATGCTGCATTCACATTGCAGAGCACTGATAAAACCATGCAGGTCTTCTCACTGAGAAACCTACTTACCTCTTCCCTTCATAATCTTTGCAAATTTTCTGCAAACTCATTGTAACATATAAAAGCACAAATACAGGCTAGGTAGAGAATGGATTGATAGTAGCCCTAAGGAGAAGGGCTTCGGGTGCTGGTGGATGAGATGCTGGACATGACCCAGCAATGTGCACTCTCAGCCCAGAAGGCCAAATGTGTCCTTGGCTGAATCAAAAGCAGCATGGCCAGCAGGTCGAGGAAGGGGATTCCCCCTCCTACTCCGCTCTGGTGAGAACCCACCTGCAGTGCTGCATCCAGCTCTGGGGTCCCCATCACAGGAAGGACATTGACCTTTTGGAGCAAGCCCAGAGCAGAGCCACCAAGATGCTCAGAGAGCTGGAGCACCTCTCTTATGAAAGACAGCCTGAGAGAGTTGGGATTGTTCAGCCTGGAGAAGACTCCGGGGAGACCTTGGAGCAGCCTCCTAGTACCTAAGGGGAGCCTGCTAGAGAGCTGGGTAGGGACTTTTTATAAGTTCATGTAGTGATACGACAATGGAGAATGGTTTCAAACTGAAAGCGAGTAGGACTGGATTAGACTAGATATTAGGAAGAAATTCTTTACTATGAGGGTGGTGAGGTACTGGAACAGGTTTGCCCAGAGAACTTGTGGATGCCTCATCCCTGGAAGTGTTCAAGGCCAGGTTAGATGGGCCTTTGAGCAACCTCATCTGATGGCAAGTGTCCTTGACCACAGCAGAGGGGTTTGACCTAAATGACCTTCAAGGTCCCTTCCAACCCAAACCATTCTGTGATCGTATGAAAAGGCAGAAAAGCAAACAAACTGCTTATCTGCTTCCTGAGAATCCTCCACAGTAATCTGTTAGCAAAGAAGGGGTTATAGGATACATGGCAAGAATGCTGCAGAATTTTAAAATATAATGCAGTTTTGGGTATACTAGGAAGTAAGAACCTGATTATACAGGTTGAAAAAAAATTACAGAAAGGTAACTTAGCAATATCCAACCTATGACCTTATCCTGAAGAAAATTACAAATATGCAGAGAAATTGGTGAAAGGAAAGAACCGGGCACTTGAATCTGGTTCAGTCTGTACCCCATGCTAGTACTTGGGAAAAAAAAAACAGTTTGGCCAGCAATGGGAGGATCTAGCTGAGGAATACAGTGTCCAAAGTTTCTCTCAAACTCATTTCTTAATACAAGGTAGGAACGATGACAGAACTCAGTGGAACTTAGAGCATTACCTATAAATTAGAAACAGCAATGGCAGTGGGGAAGCAGGGAAGAAACTAGTCAAGCAAAAAGATATATTTCATTTTGTCCTCCTACTCATTTATTTTCATGACTGACTTTAGCTCATTTTAATTTCTGATAGATCTGCTTGTCAAGAATCACTGACAATATTTATGTTCTTAATACTTTAGCCAAAGTGAAATTGGTCTTTCAACAGAGCTAACTTTTGCAACTAAAATATGACAGAAAGAAGAGTGTTCACTCTCACAGGATGCATGTCTTTCTCCATTTGGCCCAGACAGAAAGGATGCAATTTTTCAATATATGTGATGCAATCTGTAAGGACTACAATTGCTTTATATTATCTGTGCTCTCCGCTGATAGGTTTACATTGGTAACAAGAAAATTTGAGAAAGGACTTGTAAAACACAGTCAGGCTTGCTGGCTTACTCTTACTGGTGCCTCTAAAACTTTCTCCTCTCCTTTCAGGTTCAAATATTCTGGAAAAAGCCACAACTGCTAGCCTGGTAAATCCTGATGATTCTCATTGTAACTATTCTGAGCAGATATGTTAACTGGCTTAACTCCAGTAAAAACAAAAGAAGCACACCAGTTGGCTGAACTCATGAACACCAAAACAAAACTAAGGTGAAAATCTGTAATAGGTACCAGCTGCCTTATATGCTCCCTAAAAAACAATTCTAAAACTAATACTGTTTATCTAATTCAAAATACTAATGAAATTATGAATAACATGATGTTATTCAAAATCATTCTGAGTATCAGAAAAAGGAAGTTTTGAACACAGCCCTGAGGAATATACTAAATAATTCCTTATTAATGAAAGTTTACTGCATTTTTATAGAAATAAACCATTCCACTGTTTTCAAATATACATAAAATATTTGTAGGTATGCTTATATTTATAACATCATACATGACCACACCATTATTACATTCATTACAATGTGGCTGACTTATCTTTTAAGCTCAGAAAATTACATCAGAAATGTGTTAGACTTGAATTTAATGTTACCAGTTAGCCATCAGTAAAAAACAACACACAGAAATATTATTTATAGAACAGAAATAATAAATATAGAACAGAAATAATAAGAATGGGTTACAGGTTTTTAAAGAATTGATTCTTCACTCAGTGATATTCTTCCTACTAGAAATAGTAGGACTAGAAATGGCAGATAAGCTACAGTTTTTACCAATTTATATAATAAATTTTTTTCTTCTTGATTTCTATGGTCAGGTCTTCTTTAGTATTCACATGAGAATACAATCTTCAGATATGTTGTTATTTTGCTGCTTTTACTATTAGCATTGCCCTATGCTGAAATAAGCTTGTGATTTGATGTTTAATCTGTCACTCATGTAATATTTCAATATCTGACACTTCCTTGAAAAACTGATTAATTACAGACCTAGCATTTTCCCACATTCAGAAAATTATGCATGAAGATCAGCCAAATGACTTTGTATTTAGAATTTTCTTTTATTCTTGCCAACCAAAGTGGTCACCAAGTTGTTGTACGCTCACACATTTAAGTTAAATTGAACTGTTGATAGAGCAATATGTTACCGTTTTTGACATGTCTACACTTTCTCTTAGCTACTATGAAATCATATGAAGGAATCTAACTATCTAAGCAGGAATTTTCAATTAAAAATGACAGGTGGCTACATCTGTTGCTTTAGATTTAGAAGTCGATAGTGACTACATCGTTGGTTTTCAAGAACGATTTCAAGTTGTTTTTCAGAACGATTTACTGAAACTGCCCCATTTGTTCTTTCTTCCTAAAATGCGGAGTCCCTACAAGAACTTGGCAAACACACAGGGATCAATTTTACAGTTCAGCAACATTTTAACCGTATCTTTTAAGGAAGGAAGTTTTACAAGACTTGCATAGAGGCCATGTAATTTTTGCATGGCATCTGCATATACTGGAACAGCTCCTCTGCTGGAAGTATGATGGATGTTGTTCTGTCCATGCAAACTTTGCTGATATTTCTCATCATATAATGTGAAATAAACAAAAGGAATAATGGAAAAAGAATTAATTCCAAATCTTTCTGAATGCTAAAAAAGCCACAGGTAACATTGCTTTTTTAAAAGACAAGTTGCTACTAAGTGTATTTGCTCTATTATACATTACTCTTTTACTAGTGGGAATATTAAAGAGAGTAGATATTTTCAGCAATAACAATAATTTTTAAAAACCCACCTGATTTTGCCAGCTGTTTTGTCTATGGATTGTCTTATCTTGCGAGAAAACTGGAAGACTGAGGACAACAGCAAACTGTCCCCCATAACCTGCAATAAGATTTTAATAAAAAAGGATATTATTAGTTTAATGGGAATTAAATACAAACAATTCCATATATTTTGGTATCTTTAACATTAAAAACCCATACTTGTGTTTTAATTAGTATCATATACAATCATATTTGAACATTTTGCAAATAAAATAATATACAGTATTTTCCAATATTAATGCCACCTGCTACTGGTAGGAAAGAAAGAATAGTGTCTAGAATATTAAGTAGGGGGATAATTGTCAAAGCTTAAAATAGACACATTACTGGAGAGAATCCTGTTGTGTACTCACTTCATCTCTGCTCCAAGTCCTTCTCCGGGTAATTGTCGGGGGATCGAGGGCATCTGTTAGCTGAGGTCTAGCATCACTAGGCCGACCATTCCCCTCTGGTGGTTTCGAATGCACTACTGGAGGGATTTTTCTGAAATTGAGACTTTCATCAAATACGCGGTCCACCAACTGGGGGATAAAAGAAAAACGCATTTTATGAAATCTGCTGGGTACCTGCAAAAATCAGATTACTATTTTCTCCTCCTGCAACAGTTTACAAGCTGCCTATCAAATAAAAATCATACTGTTGTCTGGTACAGTACAAAATGACGCATCTCTTATGTAAGAATATCTCGTAAAAATGAATTTTTAGTTTGTTTTTTTTAAATATGAGACATACAAGGCACATTTAGACTACTCACAGAGACTTTGCTTATAGGTAGGTAACATAATAGTTGCCTATAAACTGCTACTAAATAATTTATTCCTTTGATCAATGGATATATCTGTGGAATTAAGTAGAGTTCTCTGAAATGTAGGGTTTTTCTGCAGATTAGTCCTAGTGTTACAGAAAGACCTATACTACCTGAAGGAGATACTGCCATCTGCAGTATGTACACAATGTACCATATTTATTAAAGAGGAGAATAGTTATTTAGTAATATAAAAATGGAAGTGATCTAACTGGTTCTGATAAAATGAGCACTTTGTTTCCTCAAAGTTTAGCCATAGTCCACGAGAATTAAAACCAAAATCTATGTGAGTATATTTATGATTTTTCTGACCACCTGACTCACGGATTTCTCATTACTGTTTATATCTTTTTTTCCACAGAAAAAGACAGTATTAAACTAACTACAGTAAACTAATGTATTAACCAAACTTTATGCACACGAAAATGAATAAAACACATTTTGAAAGGAATACTATGAAGAAAAAATGCAGTAAACATTTACAACACATTACTATGGTGAATTGTAACATAGTAGAAAGTGATGATTTAAATTCAGATTAACATGTGTACCAGCATTAGACCTGTGATGGTTACTAGAACAAGTTAGTCAATATATTCATAGAACAGCACAGCAGAGATAGTCAAAGAATATAAGACTTATTAGAAGCATAATGCAAACTTACTTCAGGGTAGTTTTTGACAATGTTATTAAGAAAGAAGATGATACCTAAGTATTTCAGTGTTCAGAAGATGAAAGTTTTATGTCACCTGTGAAAAGAGTGACTTTTTTGTTTTTAATAGCTATGCAAAGAATTAAATATAGACATTTATATATATTTGAACATATACACTAGTATCTTTAAATGCACTTAGATACTATACAATGGTATCTAAGGCTACAGACAAGTAAGAAGCATAACTACCTTGTTCCTATGTTTTGTGGAAAAAAAGAGACAGACAGATAGTATGCATCCTTTTGACAAGTTGTGTTCATAGAATACCTTCTGGGTTGTTTGTTGAAACAAAGGAACTTTAAATAAAAAAAAAATGTAGAGATCATGCACACGGGTTGAGTGGAAATAACTAAAAAGCTATGCAAAAATGCTAAAAGCAAAAGAAATAAAGAAAAGGAAGAACCTTATGCATTTCTCCATGAAGATCTCCTACCTCTTCTCTAGTGTCTATGGCAGAGCCAGGGGTGGTGGCAGCAGTGCTTACTGTGGTACTGGGGGCAGTGCCTGATGAAGTCACTGAATCTATCTCTCCTGCTACATCGTTGATTTCCCGTGCGATGAGAGCCAGATCTTGACTGATCCTAGTAATAAAGAGAGTGTTACATTCTCCCCTACAAATACTTTTGGGCCAGTAGAGCCCAACCTTGGTAGCCTTTTAGGTTTTGAGTTCCAGTTCCTTACAACTGTGCTATGAAAATGTGAAAGTTTATTTGTAGAACCACACAAGAAAATTTTAACTGAAGCTTGTAACAGCATGCCTCTCTAGAGGAAGAAGGTAGAAGGCAATCTCAAAAGACAGATCATCTTTGTTTTCTTTCTAGGATTCACAGGCAGACGTGTACACAGTATATCTAAGGCAGTGGATGCACTGTAAATATTGCACAGACCTGCATACATGCAGTAAATCTGAAACATTCAGACAGTGTTTAGTTTATACCTTAGTTTACCTGCTTGCAAAAACATATTTTCAAGACCGCTGATTATCTAGCAGCCCTGCAGCTTGCTCATGTGTCTGAAATTCCAGACCAACACCCTAAGTCCTCAAATTTTATCAAGACAAGTTTTCCAGTGGGAAAAACAGAACATATTCGTAAAAACCTTGGCACTACAAAAATACATCTGAATTCTCAGTCAAAGATTCCTTTTCCTTTCTTCTGATTCACCACTTTAAAAAAAATAGCTTTGCTGAGTATTCTGCTCAGCACAGGGAAGAAGCTTGGCTAGCTCAACTTGTGCTACTCCTCCACAGGACACCCCAAAAGGAGGAGGGAACAAGAAAAAAACTCTCACAAAGCAAAAGCTAAAAACCCTTACTAACTATGGCACCCTGAATCTCCAGCTTGGATCACACAGTTCAGAAGACCTAGAATTCAGAGCAGACTGCCAAGTGATCCCCTTTGACACTTCTGGCTGAGAGGACTGAAGGCACAGGAGTCGACAGTGCTACTTCTGCATCGCCACGAGGTGAATTGCACCACCCACCACTCAAGCAGAAGGAGCAGCACAGCCATGTAACAGTGACACACATCAGGCTGGACAGAGATGGATTGTTCAAGGGGAGCTTCCTTCTGCTCTTTATTTTCACTTTGTCTTCAAGTCAAAAAGAACGGACACCACTGACCTAGAGATAGTTTAAGACTAAGTGAGCAGAATTTCAACTTCAAAGGCAAACATAACTAGAGAAATTTCCAGTCAAATTCCTACACTGTATTTTGTGGCTAAACATCAGCAATATGCAATGAAGTGAAACTTTGTGTAGCTTAGGTACATATATAGTTGAGATACGGCTGTAGAAGATTATCTGGCAATTACCCATGACAACTCAAGATAGTATTTCTGATTTTAAACTATCAAAGACTGAAACAGTAAAGCATAAAACAAGTCAATTGTTCATTTAAATAAATTAAAATATGATAAGAACCTATTACTAATTAATTTAACCTAATTACTACATCTTTTGGGTCAATTTTAATTTATATTTCATGTTCTTAGATATACATGCCATTAAAAATCCAATATTCTAAGTAGCAGAGATACTAAAACACCTAATTCCTTTGTTTCACACAATCATCTAACTATCTCCTTAAAGACAGAAATTGCTAATAATCACATTTGAATTTCTGGGACAAATTCTGGTATTTAATGAATAGTTGTAAAGAAAATAAAACCCAGGAGATTTCAATTATTACCAAATCCTCCTGAAGAGAAATGTTATTAAACACCATAATAAAAAGTAGTATCAATCAAGACTTAACTCTTCACAGAAATCAGCAATGCTTCAACATGCCACAACCACTTCATTTGAGTTCTTCCCAAGCAATGAATATTACATAAAATGTCAGATATTTATATAAAAATGAATTTAAAATGAATCCTGAGAGTATCAGAATAAACAACTCTAACATGGATGGCAAGTAACTTGGTAGACAATTATCATAGTCAAACATCAGTGCAGTGAACAAAATCTGGAATTATTTTCAATGTGACAGTAAACTATAGTCAGTACTCAATTAAGTGTCTGCATAGAAACAATACAGGGCACTAAACAAAAACCACTGTGAAAAAGAAAACTAGAAACCAGTTGTGAATAGTCTGACTTTTCAAAAATGAAGTGTTCAAGTAATTCTACATTAACTTTTAGAAACAGAAAGTATTGGTTAAGGAGTATGCTTTGTGTAATCAGGGACAAGAGATTTAGGCTTTAGGTACATGCTTTTACTCTGCTGCAACTGTAGGTTGCCTTGCAGATTTTTACTGCTTCCTGCATCACACCTAGCAATCACAAAAGGCAAATCAATTTATTCGCAGAGGCAAAACTAAAATAAACCTCAAATTCCCTAACCCTCTCAACGTGCTCCACTAAATATTGCTATTAGATTCACTCAGTCAGCAGACTCACGCAGCTACACAGCTACATAGGGAACAGACTCAGTTTTCAACGCACTGGAAAAGGTGAGAACATGGAGCTTGGGATGGGGAGAGCATGACTACCTTTTCAAAAGCCTGGAACTCTAGTTCTTATTTAACTGTAGGGAAAGAATACCCAATATCAGAAAAAAGAAACAGGAATACTTCTAAGATATCTGTAATAGTGCTGAACTGCTGGATTACCAAGAACATTTTTATGCTTAGTCTACTATGTTACACTTCCTATACTGAGTCAGTTGATTTTGTAACAATACTTTAACATCCTTAAATAAAATATATGTGAAGCTCCTGTTATTCCGAAGGTGTATACTCCCTCCATGTCAAAGTGGCTTTAAATCAAATTTACTTATTCCATTAAGTTTTTCTAAACATCTCTCTCAATTTTTCAATTTTATTAACATCTGTAAATTTGGAAGTCTGTGAAAAGTGCAAATTGGTCAGTCAAAGAAGACCAGTTAAAACACAATATGATGGTAACATGGATGCAATGAAATGTTTGTCATACAGTCTCTACAGTACTTTCTGCTGCACATGTATTTTATGAAATGCTTACCCTTACACCTGCCTAATAGAATCAGTTATTCAACAACAAAAAAATAAATCAAACAACTTAAATGAGAGCATGTAATCATCTATTCATTTTTTGAAAACTTTAAATAGAGTTGAAGGGATTCTGATCACAGAGGCTGATCTGAGGGCTGGGATGGAAAAAATCTCCACGGTAGACAACAACAGAGAATATGGTTAGCAAGGCAAAAGGAGCGGAGACAAAAAATCTTATAAAGGACAGAAGTTAAAATTAAAGTCAGAGGAGCAATAACATGAATCATTACAAAGATATATGGAGGCACAGAAAAGATCAACTAGTGACCTACAGCAGTGGGGCTCAGCAGAGGCTAACCAAGAAAACTGGTATTGGAATCAGTGATGATAGCTGACAGTAATCTGGAATTTCTCAAATGCTGATTGCTAGTTTTCTTAACATTAAATAAGCTTATTTAAAGCAGTTTGTGTGAAATTTCTATATAAACTTGGCAATACTCATTCGAGTCTCTCACTACTTCCACTGAAAATAAAGCTGAAGAGGTAGGGTAACAAAAGGTACACAGCCTTCAAAACAAATTTAAAACCAGTATATCAATGCAGAAAATGGTAAGAATCCCAAGGGAAAAAAAAGCCCTGCAAACCTAACCATCAAGTGAGTTTAGACCGAATCATCAACTACTTCCAGTGTCAATCTCTCCCAGATAAGCAAAACGTACCAAGAAGTTTCACTGAAGTAGAGGTTCATCAGTACTTCTTATAAGGAGGAAGTAATACGCTATGGCTATCAGTTGTTTTTCCCCACATACACACATCTAACTTTAGATTACTAAAAAGAAAGAGATGTTTTAGGAAGATGATTTTGAAGATGTTTATTTCATGATTTATCTAGATACTATGAAACTTCCTTAGGTATCTTTTGTGTGCCTCTCTGGGCCTCTATGTCTTCCCTTTGCACAGATCACACTAGAAAAACAAATGTTGAAAAATATACCAAGAAGAGGAAACAAAAAATAATTAATCACACCAAGTAAAACACCTCCATGGCATTAAGCAAATACTCCACAGTATTAAGAATAATCTTAAAAGGAAAACACTTTTCCTGTTTAGGTTTCCAAATTAAGTTTTTTGAAAAGTTTCGTAACCTGAACACTGACATCGAAGTATTAAATAATATTTACATACTTATTTAGTTTTATTTATTTTGTGCAAGTCATCAGAAGTTTTCACTGCATGAGTGTTGCATGATATGGGAATAACTGGTTACAAGAATGCAGAACTACCTGTTCCTTGGTTCAATTGAAGCAGAGTTGATATTAGCAATAACAGAGGAATTAATATACTAATCTCAGATGCTGGCAACAAAAAAAAATTACTTTTTGATGAATCCACGACTTGTATCAGAGAGTATCTAACATGAAATAATATTTAGATAAATCAAAAATTAAAATGAGAAAATGGTCTTTTACATTGCCAAAATCACTTTTTTTCTCTCTCTGTCACTTGTGCATTGATCTAAAATTTTACCTCAATATGAATGTAAAGGTAGTACAAAATCACATATACTTCAGCTTCAGGAAACACACTAAGTACCTCTGCAAGTCCAACTAATGCAACTGAAAGTTCATCTTCTGGGACTGGGCTATCCTAAGTCAGAAATTACTATAATTTTCCATTAAAAAGAAATGTGCTGGTAACATGAGTGTTCTGTCTGCCAGTCTCTCATAAGAAGAATTTTAAATTACTCATTCGGTTAGTGAGTGAAAGCAGTAAGTAGAGTGATATAGAATAGAAAATTCATTAGCTCAGCTCTCCTTTATATGCATCTGCATAACTGGTTGGGCACAATTCTTCGTTATTTTAGAGGCATGCCTTTAAAACCAACCTTGCTATCTCTTCTCGGTGAGCTGTCCAGTCACGAATGTAGTCTTCCTGTTCCTTTATTCTGTGCTTGAATGTATTGCTACTTTGAGCTGCTGTCCCAGAGCTCTGCAGTCGTGTGGTTTTCAGGGCTGGAGAGGTACGTAGACGGGTATGTTTAGGGGAATTACGGTTTGATCCGAATTCATCTTCTGAGGTGGAAGCATAATCTGTAGGAAAGCGCCTCCATCTTGCACTTACTAAATTAGTTTAATTGTTAAAAAAGAAATATTATTGCATCTTAAATAAGAAAAAACAAGATTATTTCAGTAACATCACAAAAATATACAACTATTCGTTATCAATCCCCAAATACCTCACAAAAGGTTTATTTACTACATCTTAAAAAGAAAGCTACAAAATTTGTGTTAAATAATAAATACTGATTAATAAAAACACAAAACTGATGCTCTTTGTATAATGATGAGTAAAGTAAGATGTAAAAGTCAGTAACTGTATATGAGCTCAAGCAAACTATTACAAAACAAGGGCCCAATTCATTAACATTAAAGTATATAGTCAAATTGCACTTTTTCTGCAGATTTTTTCCCAAATTTCATTCCAGGTGTATGTGATACACAAAAAAAAAAAATGAAGAGACATGAAGGAAGGATGGAGCTGGCACCAAGACTGGGATGTATGCTTACATAAGGAAAGCATAAAACTCATAGATGGTGATAAGGTCTTTTCCAACCTTAATGATTCTATGATTATGTCTTTAGTATGAAAATAAAATATGTAAAATTAATATTGTGTTAAAAAAATCAGCTGCACATCTATAAAAAAGGAAGACTCAGAGCAAAAAGCTTCCTTTATTGAAAAGTTCATAGGTATGAAAATACCTATTCTGCAAGTCACATCCTATAATTATTTTTCAAGAGTTTTTGTGTTTGGTTTTTTTTTTTCTTTTCCAATCTGACAATTATTCCCTTTTTAAGCAACAGCTTAAAGACTTCTACATGTAGCACATAAAAGCATTATACAGTTGTGCTGCTGAAGACAGCCTGAAGTACAGGAGAACTGAAATTAAGTTGGAAGCTTTCGTCCCCCTATGAATTACTGAAGCTAAGAAAATGCATTTCAGATATGCTGTCCTCAAACATTCCCTGCAGGATGAGATACCATTAAGTGCAAAGGAATCCTCATCATCACAATCTTCTAAATTATTGCAGAGGATTTAGTCCCCCAAACTCATTGACATTCATGAGGCTCTAGAAATACTGTAGAAAATTAAAAAAATGCCTGATCACCTCTTGGTAATTTAAAAATAATACATGCAAATGACATATATTGTTTTTACTATTACAAAATACAAGAAATAATACTGATTTCTCCTGAAACATCTAAAAAAAATATTATAAAGGAAGTATACATGAATATGAATTTAAGTAACAAATAATGAAAGTAATTTTTACTTGAGAAAAGATCTGTGTAATGCAGATTACAGTATGTAGAATATAACATCGGTGTATAAGCTTACATCCCTTCCCTCATATAAAGAATGCATTTTTAATTGCTGGAAATAAAAATGTGCTTGTGTAATTTTTTTTTAGGTTTAAATGTGGGCTTCAAATCATGTCCAGTTGTACTTTTTAAAAAAATATTCTAATTTTATTGAAGCAAGTAAAAATGTCTCTCCAATCATTTACTGATCTCTTTTTAGAGGTTTCAAAGTTGTTTGATCTTAGGGAAGTAAATATAAGCAGAAAAAGCACATTTCCCCACCAATAGCATGCAAGCAATGTGTGACCAAAGTCCAAAGAACTCTATGAGTTGGGCCCACATTTTATCATCCATTTTTGTTTAAATTTTTTGTCCTGGTTCAAATTATATATATCAAAATAAATATAAAATTTATCTTAAAATCTCTCAAGTGAGCTAGTCCAGCAACTCAGCACTGTACAATGAGCATATGTAATAATATATTTAAAAACTAAAAAATTGAATGAGAAGTGAAATATCAGAAACAGATTTGATTTCTAGTACTCTACCACTGTAAGTTTCAACATCAGGATCTGGGTCTGGGAGAAGCTTGGATTTCTCTGTGTACAAAATAGTGTTTTATCATGTTAATTAGTTTTAAAACATTCAGTTTAGAAGCATTTGCTTAAATAAAATATATTGATGAGATTAGTCTTAGGTCCTCTTTTCCACCCACACTTTTTTAGGAAAAGATTATACATTCAATAAAAAATAAAGAATTTTGTAAAGGCTTAAACATTTCAGAGATACTAACTGAAATGGCATCCATAACAATTGTGTACATAGTATCATAAAAACCCTCTCCATTTTTTAAGACCAATAAATTTTAAGGCCTTAAAATGTTGGTTTTCAAATCATCAATGGGTATTATCAACGGGTTTCTCCTTATTATGAAGAAAACGTTATTGTAGGCCTAGCAGTAAGAATTTCAAGGTTTTATAATTCATAACAAGCAATATCCAAGCACTTTTCCCAGTAAGGTAGCTATACATTTGCAAATATATGCTTTTAACACTATCTATAAATTATGCAGCTTTTAACACTATCTATAAATTATGCAGCCCTGAAAGGTCATTGTAGTTTATGCAGATTCTGAAAGCTATTGTGCAATTGCATATCTCAGACACCAAAGACAGTGAATATCAGTATCACTAACTAGAAAATCCTTCAAAACCCTGGCTAAAATAATCAGCATACAAACATAATTTAATGACTACTCTGTGAGGGGCATAATGTCCTGACAACACATTAAGCTGGCAAGTTTGGTGATTTGGACACCATACTCTCACTTTTAAGATCTGAGGATAAACTTGATTGAATATGTTCCTTAAAAAAATATTCTACTCTCATTGGCACACTGCCTTCTCAAGGTTTATCCGTTTCAAAGATCCTGAAATTTGGTGCTCAGAAGTGCAATAATACTAAAATGTGCTTAATAAGTGTTGTTTTCTCTCCATTACCAACCCCCCCCCCCCCCCCAGTTATCTCAATAGCTTTGATCAACCTATCTGCCAGCCATCTGCAATCACAGTCAGGTCAGTAAGCCAGCAGAGCTGCTAAACACAACTAGTTGCTCAAGGTGTCTCTGCTCTTACTTGATGTTTAATTTGACAGTGCAGCTTATCACTTTTGCACTAGGTCTGATCCTGCTGTTTGTTATCCTAGTACTTAGCTCCTTCTGTAACACCATCTTCAATTTTCCTTAGTTGTGAAAATAGGTCTTTGGTCTTCTCTGGTTTTATTGATCAAACTCTACTGTTTGATCAGACCTTTCATTGCTTGTGGTATAAAATTACTAATTCTGCTTCACGTGTCTTCCCAGTATTGTTAGTTATCAAGCCTCCCACCACAGAAACACCCTGGTAATTACTTTAATGCTGGCAATTCTCATCCAAGATGTTCCATTTACTTGTTTGTCCTTTCATATAAAAGTAATCAATACTTCACTGCATCAAATCAGATTTTTGAAATTACAGACTTGCTGACAGTTCTGACAATTTTAATGCTATTATGTTGCAATTCATCCATATGAAGTACAAGACAATAAAAAAACGCCCAGTGAATATATGTTTTTCTTGCCCTCTATTTACAGGCATGTATGTCTGAACATTGACTTGGGAAGTGCAGAAATAACTTTCTCTTTTTAGGCTGGATTTAAGAAGGCATCAGTGTTCAGTGATCTGCAATGTGGTAATAATGTTAGCTGACCTCTGATGAGATAACCCAGAAGAAATATACTTAACACCTTGATAGCAACCAGGCTTCTGGTAAAAGAAACAAAACTCTAAAGCTTATATTAGTAACAATCATTCATTTTCCAGTCTTTCTATGTCCAGGGAGAGAAGAAAATATATCTCTGTTATGCCTTGATTAAATGTGCCTCAAGTAAAACACATTTAAACAGTTGAGTTACTTTTGTCAAGCACTTCATTGGTACTTTCCAAAACTGCTAAAATTAAGTGAATTCTTGACTTTTCTAAAAATAAAATTAAATTCAGGAATTAAATAATTTGGATCAAAAAGGTTCTGCTGCGTTCTACTTTTACATATTGCACAAAAGTAACACATTCTACCCAAAGATGATTTGAATACATTAATCTAAGGATAAAATTATAAATAATATCATCAATAACTTGATGCGTTGGTAGTTATTAGCATCATATAGCTAAGGGGAAAATGCAGACATACTAAGTAGTGGTCAATATATCATAGGTGACGTATATATATACACTCCTCTATACACTAGAAGATTACACCACATTCAAAGCAATTCAGATTTTCCTAAAGTATAATCTAAATAAACCAGTAAAAAAAATTACACAGTAAGGTTACTGATACAGACAAAATCCAAAACTCTTAATCCTAAACAGTAGTAATAATAGTTTTTACTTACATAGTAACAAGACTTGATTGATTTGTTAAGCTATGATTTTCTTTCGAAAGTATCTGACTGCTTTATTAATGGCTTTCTGATTTTGGCCTTTACATTGATAAGCTTCTCCCTGATCTTAATATATATTAACTGAAAAATTTTTTTACGATAGAAGTTATTCCTACTGTAGATTTTCTAAGCACAGTTTTTTTAAAATACCTAGCTTATTATGTTGGGGTAGCTCATGAGAAGATGGCATCTTTTCTTTCTTGAAAACAGAGTATTGTGTACAAGCTGCAGTAAACTTTGAGTGTGTAATGCAAGTAAATGAAATGAACATTAAGCAAAGATGACTGTGATAGACTAGTAGACTGGGAAGAGGAAGATACACCCACTCCCCTTAAAAGAAGCAGTAAACCACTTCAATGCAGCAACCTTTAAAAAGTTTAGGAAGCTGGCAAGACTTCACATGGACACAAAACTCAAAATCTATATACAGTTTTGTGAAAAACAAAAGAAGCAGTGAATTGACAACATCCAGGTTTTACCTTTTCAAAAATCAGCAAAATCACAATGTGAACAAGTATTAAGTATTAAAGTAAACATACAGAAGTCTTAACTGACACTCTTCCCTGACCTAACATTGCCACCTTTCAGGCAGCACATATAAATTCAAAACCTCAATTAAAATTGAAAATACGCTACTTTTCCAATTATATCTTACAAGGAAAGACCAAGTTTTTCTTTGAAGTTTAACCTTTCTTTTTTGTACCTTTCTAGACACCTGTCATCGTAGCAAACAGATTCAACTTTACAGTTCAGCAAACACCTCATTTGTATCTCAGTAGAAATTTCTATTCAGCTAATAAATGACACAGCCAAAAGATACCTGCCTGGGGAATACACACTGCTAATAATCCTAACAAGGTCCATTTGTGATATACCAGCAACAAAAGGACAGCAGAAGTGTGGGAATTTAGTATTACAGTTGTTTATATCAACTCTGAGTGGGATGCAGTAAGAGAGACTATAAAATCTCAGTATCAACACACAGCACTGGAAGCTACTCCATTTATTCTGTTCTTTCTTAGACTGTGGATTGGCTGCAAATACAGTAAAGTTGGTAGTATGACAATTCTAAAAGCAAGTAGACAACTATTTTAGATATTCATTCCATGTTAAAGTTCACTTATTTATAATTAACACATTTCAATTTTGGTTGATTTAATATTGCTGCTGAAAAAACCTACCAGCTTTTTACACTGCTTCCACTTAAGAGTGTTGACTTCTAACAGAACAGTAGGTTAAAATTCATTGATTGTACAGATTTTTTCCTTCCACACATAAGGTAACATTATAGTAAAGGAACCACCACACCAAAGAAGACCAATACGATTTGGAAATCATGATAAAATCATAAACTGCCATGATTCGGAACACAGAATGGGAAATAATCCAAGGCAAGGCAAACATTTCAAAAGAAATTACTTAGTTTTATGATATTTAGTTAGGTAGTGCATAATTTTTTCAACTAGTTCCTTCATTGTTATTATTCTTATAAAAAAATCTCACTTTTGTAGTTCTGACTGCATACTTACAAGCCTACCTTACAAATAAGTACTATATCTTCTAGGTAGTAAATAGTGCTTCTGACCTTTTGAAAATCTACTACTAAGACTTGAGCAAAGAGATCTCTGCTCTGTTTTTGCAGTAAAGCAAATTAGTACCGACACATCTGACTGCCCCAATGCATTAACTGGTTTCAAGATGAAAAATATCCAAAGACTTAAAAGATTACAATTTCTTGTCTTTACGATTTTCAGTGAGAAACCTCCCCAAGCCATGAAAAAGAAGCCTCTTACTCCAAAGAGGGCATCAACTGAAACTCAACAAATGTTTCATAAGAACTCTTTCTTAAATCTTTTTTTTTTTAAATCCACATACTAAAAGCATCTAGTATTGTATAAAATTATTTCAAATAATCTCACGTACCTGAGGGAGAATTATGTGCTGAAGCCAAGGATTTGGATTTTGAATCCGAAAGTCGAGAAATGCTATTGGCTCGAGTTCTAGCAGAAACTTTACCGCCATCTCCTCCTGCTAGCAACCTTGAACCACTTCTGATAATAGCTTCTGGGGTACGAGATGAGGCAGTGCTTCTAGTTATTGTTGCTTCAGAATCACTACGTGCTGATAAAGAGCCAAGTCGATTTCTGCGAGGTTGAGCAAGTAAGTCTATTCTGGAAATATTTCTCCTCCCTGATGGAGGTTTTGACGTAGAACTTGTAGTGGACACTTCGGAAGCCACTGAAGCCTTATCGGCATCAGCAAGCTCGCTATCTGAGACTTCACCAAGCCGTGCTCTGCGCAAGAGAGAAGTCCTTGTGGGACGAGGTCTTGGAAGAGTGGTAGATTTACTAGATTGACCAAGTGCAACAGGAGAGCTTTTTGACTTAGTTGACTTTCCTTCCATCTTGGAATGTAAAAGTTCATCTGCTGAGGCAAAAGGAACTCTTCCATGTGATTTGCCAGAGTAGGTTTCCTGGTCAGATGATAAGATATCAGAAATAGCAGAATGAGGTACACTAGATGTTTGGTCATCATCTGTTAAATCTACTGATGGTTGTCTCATTCTTCCACTGGACTGCACAGTTTTGCGAGCATCAGCTCTAGACCCACCATCTGAAGATCGACTTTTAGTTTTCTTTTCCATCTTTTCCCTGGCACTTGCTGTAGAAGATTTTAAAACATCCTTTGAAGGGGAACCAGTGGAACATCTATCTTTATATAAGGTTGTAAAGCTCTTCCGCTTCTGCGTGGATTTTCTTTCAGTGTCACCAGTAACGAGACTGATTGTGCTGGCTGTATCGACATCTGATTCTGGTGATATGGAATTATCTCTGTTATAACTAGGAGTGTCAGGACCTTCATCAGTTTTATTTTCTTCACGCAATTTAGCTTCAAGGAAAGCCATCACAGCTTCTGTGTCTTTTAAAATGAGTGTTGTATCTAGACTGGAATCAGTGTCCATTGAATCACTTCTGTCACGTATCCTGTTTGCAGATACTAAAGGGGCAGCAGATCCACTTTGCTTATTAATGTGAGGAATAAGTTCTATAGGTATATTTGTGCTAGGCTTATCTATTGTAAAGCTCCCTTGTCTCACTAACGGTTTTGAAGATTCCTTTTTTTCTCCTCCAGGTGTTTTAGGGCTGTGTCCTCTAATAATTTCCTCATTTTTTCTTCTTCTGCCCTCAATCTGTGCCAACTTAATTTCTGCTTTATCTGTAACATGTCCAGGAGGATTGTCTTGATTATCCAAAGTTTTAGGTGACGTAACAGTCTCCTCCCTACCTTTCTCAACCTGATTTACAGCAGATTTTGTAGAGGATAATTTTGTGGGTGTCCAGTGTCCTTGTTCCTTTCTTTCTTGTTGTTGAATTTTTGCTAAAGCTTGTTTCACCACAGAAGTTTCTCTGCCAGTTTCAACTCTCTCTTTACTGGAAGAGCTGGGAAAAGAAAAAACTTTGTCTCCATTAGCTCTGGGTGAAAGACCATTCATTGTTCTGGTTGACTTTGCATCTGAGGTATGACCTGGAGTTTCTTTCTCCTGAAGTTCAGTGTCTTGCTTTTCACCTATTTCTGACCTCTGATGAGATGTAGCTTTTGATTTTGAGTTTTCATTCACTTTCTCCTCTTTGGGAAGCTGAGGAAGTGTCCTCCTCTTTCGCTCACCTTGGCTGGTCATAGAAGCAGCTGAACCAGCGCTTCTAACAGAAATACCAGACTCACTGATGTCTGTGTCTAAAAATGAAAGAGAAAAAAAATCTGATAGGACATTCAATAGCAAGGTAAATAGATTAAATTTTTAAGACTGTGTAAGACTAATGCACCAACATAAAACAGAACTGAAAAAAGTCACCAGTCTATCCTGCTGTTCTACGACAGGATCAATTAGACAAACACAGGTTTAAAAACATTTAACAAACTCTTTTACCCACCTGTGTAAACTAAGTTTTTATGATCTCACAGTAGGTTAAAATAGGTACATAAGAAATCACTGTTACATTAGCATACCATTACAAGAGGAAGTAGAAAGCAAGTCTTACATTCCTAAACACCTTCAGGACCAAATCTAGCAAACACCTTCAAATCTTCTTCCTCCCTACTTGCCTGTTCTACAGCTCACAGCCTTGTCTCATGGAGAGACTACATCCTCTCCCTGTGAGACCTCCCCTCAGGCAAGAGGTTACAGTGCTGGGAGATACTCAGCAATACTGAAAAGCCCTACTCATGAACAAAGAACTTACTCTGGTTGAGAGAGAAAAAAAATGCTTTTAACCCAAACAAGACACTTTAGTATAGAAATATATAGAAAATGTATAAAAAGTATCAAAAGAATGTAATACTACCTCTAAAGAACTTTCACTGATGCTGAATAACCCTGTTTTAGTAACCAAACTTTATTTTTCTGCAGATGACTGTGCCCTCCTTGCTCATTTAACAAACACAGCAGTTGTGCTGTCAGAAACAATCAGAGACAATATGAATTTCTCTATGAATTGCTCTTACTTTGAATACTTGGATGGAAAAAATTCTTTTTGCAGTTAATTTGCCAGCTGTAGCAATATAATGTCACACACTTATAAACACACATCTGTCAATTCACTTTTTGCCAGGAGAGATCTATGAACAACTGCCCTGCATATCCTGTTGGGATCTTCCTATCATGGCTTGCCACCAACATTGGATGTTCAAGGAATATAAACTGGAGTACAGGGCTTCCCTCTCTGGAAGAATTCTCCAAGCAATTAACTGAATATCAAAAATCACACTGTATGTATAGCTGCTACTTTCTATCTGTGTTCTTCAATCTATCTTTTCTCTTTGCACAGTGTCACATCTTTGATGAAAAATGCAAAATTACTCACACATTTTTTTCTATAATCCATGTTAGGATATTGGTTTTGAGAAGAAGGAGGTATTTCTGAAATCTAAGCAAGGTTTTCTAATGCCTGGACTGTTTTTTTCTTGAAAATTATGAAAAAGTGAAAGTTCAATGAAAATCAATATGATTGCTATCTGTGAAGACTGACTTCTCTCAGACATACCCATCTGATCAAATATTTTATATATACATATAGGTATGTAACTTGCCTCTTGGTGAACTTCAAACAGCCTTTAGTAAAAAAAATGTGTGGAGCTGTTCAGCATTCTATTTGGCTACTAAGGTTTCTAAAGAAGATACAGGCATCCATCTAAGTCAACAAGACATTTTGTGAAGTGGTCTTCTGACATACATATCAAATTTTACTTTTGTTACACCTTTGGTGCTTGAATGCTTTCTTTATCTCTCCTTAAGTATTTTAGAATTTTTGCAGTATGTGTATGTGCTACACAGTAGTTGCTTCACTTTATGTCATAAAGTTCTTATAATGGTAAAAGAAACCCTCATCTCTCCAAAGAAGATCCTAGTTAGTGTCCCATCTGAAAGTGACAGTTTAAAACAATATGGAAAACAAAAGACCACCAAAGCCCCCAATTATTCCACCCAAAGGATCAGTCTCAGTAGCTATGATTTTAAGTGCCCTGTATGTACATCCAATCCTCCCAAACAGTGCAAAATTTGCTTTTGATTTCCATTATTCTATGTATATCAGATAATTTAATTTTTCTCCTTTCCATCTCCTTTGACTTTCACTATCCTAGGCAAAATTCAACGGTTATGAGGGGAGGAAAAGCTACGATACAAGCAGCAGTTACTGGTGAGAATTCTTTCATGCACTGACACAGAGGCTTGCATTATGCAACATCCAAAGCAGAACTTCTTTGCAAAACTTCTCCCAAAGATGATCATAACCTCTAAAGTGAAACTGGGAGGAAGAAAAAAAGCAGAGAAGTAACGTAAGGTAAGCAACTCCTTTGTAGTCAAGAGTGTAGATGTTAAAAACCAAACTGCTTAAAAATCAGAAATGTGAATAGGTAAACTATGGAGATACATAGCCTGAACATCTGGTGCTACAAGAAAGGGAGATAAAGTTGTTCATTGCTAAGGTTTCTGGCATTTTCAAAAAACACAGAAGGTTTTCTTACTTCCAAGGAAGGATACTACGCTTCAGCTGAACACTGGTCTCTCATGTTGAATTGTTTAATAGTCATTATACTAAAGTATAATTTGGGGCCAGTACCAAGAAAGATGCAAGGAAAGAAACATACTATGCAGACCAACCCCAACTGTAGTCAAGTGAAAGTTTCTCTAATATTAAAGAGTTTTTAACTTTCCTTTTTCAGTAACATTCAGTGTAATCCTGGCACTCATCTGCGATGCCAGACAACACTACCGCTGAGCTTGTTTTTACACTGTTTCTGCTAAGAACTTCAGGTGAAGATGTGGTATTAAGAGTAAGAAAGCTGCTCAAGTAGTGTACATAATCACTTTTTTCTCCCTTTCTTAGGTTTCTTCAGCAGAAATATGACAAGAACAGTTTTTAATACCATTTTCTAATGGAGCAGGCACAGATGACTCCAATCTCATGTCATCTTCATCATGACGTGTGTGATTAGCAGCCAAACTGGCCCACTGTGATACCCATCGTTTACCTCCAGGATTAGTAGAACATTCCTAAGGAAGAAAAAAAACCAGAAGAAAATTACAACAGTTTGATAAAAAGCATGCCATTCTTTCCAGGTTTTTCCTGAATAAATATTCAGACACTATTTTCCTGGAGGAAGCTGAAAAAATAGTTTACCTCCATAAATTTTAGAGTTCCCAGCTCTAGAATGGCAAACAAACAAACAAAATCTATATAGTTGCAGAATCAGTACCAAATAAACAACAGTTCCTAGTGCAGTGAACTTTTAAACATCAGAACCTATACAAAATATATCAGAACATTCGCTAGTTCTAAGATCAGGTTATTTCAGTCCTCAGCTCAGAAGTGCAGGAAAAAAACATGGGGTGTGGGGGTGCATTAAAAAATTAAAAATGTGCTTCAGGAAGACAAGAAAGTGACATTTTACCAGTTTAGAAGACCCTTCTGTCCAGATGAAATATTGTATTTACTTCATTATAGAAAGACTGCCTTAAGGACTGAAAGAGTAAGGTAACTTATGAAGGAAAGGAAAGGAAGCTCAGATTATTTGTTTGGTCTAAACAAAAAAAAGAAGCAAAGACTAGATTTAAACCATCCTTCTGGCTAACAGTGAAGTCACTGTCATTAGTATCTGATAATTTTTTTTGCAGCTAAACTAGAAAGAAAATTAATTTACTTTCTTGCTGGTAAGCCTTTTGAAACCTTGAAAATTTTTTAAATGTAAAAAAGTATAAAATTAAACCATCTTCTTGTGTTCTTATATAATTTTTTTTCAAAAACTGATTTTCTAAATATAATGTAACATTACTGTGTTATCAAATATATTAGTCTGTCTTGCTTATATCTCCAAATAAAGACATCTGGCAACTGCCAATGCATATATATCTGCACATGCACGCACACACACACACACACACACGGGCTGTGCACTATCAAAGGCTTTACAGAAATTTACATAGTCTAATTTATTGTACTCAAAAGACAAAGTACTGCAAATGACAGAAATCACTGCCTATAGTTCCAAAGGAGTTACATAACCATAAGCAGGCCAAATGAGCAATAAAAGAGATGGGAAAGCTGTGGAGATACAAGTAACTTGCTTAATAAAGACACTTGTAGGAGCTGTTCCAAAGGTCAGCTGGAGCTCTGCTGCCTCTTCAAATCTTCACACTTCTATTCAAAATGCTGATTTTTGCCTAATGCCTTGGTTGCTCTGGGTCTTTGACCAGGAACAAACTCTATATATTTTATAAAATTTATTTAGCAAAAATGGAATGGTGAACAATGTCACCTAGTGTATAATAACTTCTTTCAAATTAAAAGTTACTTAGACTTTTGAAAAACTTGAATTTAGGATCTTGAATTACTCCTGATTAATGCAAACAAGTGCAACATCATGAATCTCTTCCACAATATTATGAATGTAGTAAATCAGAGATGGACCAAGTTATTTGTTTGAACTATTATACAAATTTCCACGTTTTGAATTAATTTTTTAGAATCAAAATGTTACAAAATTCAAGTCTAATAAAAGCAAAGGAAGGCAATTCAATGTTTGTTATTTATGGGCATTCCTGAACACAATGCAAGGAAAAGGGTGTCAGGAAGAACACTAGAAAAACCCTGTGCATGCAGCATTTATGCACTGACAACTACTGCTGAAACCTGATTTTTCTTTCTTATCTCTAAACTTTCTTTTCTCTATTTCCTGTCGGTACTAGTGAACTTCCATCTTTAATAAAACAATTAACTACAGCCAAATCCAAACATGATAGACATCCCAATTGTCTTTGGTATAGAAAACTCCAACTAGTTCCTTCTGTACCACCTAACCAATTTCAGAGATAGATGTGTCAGAAATCTGAATTCTACTTCAAAATGGGGAAAAATATTAAAGACTTCACAGACTAACTATAGTAAAGCAACATGATAAATTAGTTTTCTCTGAATGTAATTACACTGCCCAAAATGGTTTCTACATTGCAGTGAATGTAAATGTGTGCTTTGCTAACTCCCCACATATACAACAAAGCTATGAACAACATAGCTATGAAAATCAGTTTCTTCTGATAGTAGTTTAAGCACATCGAAAAAGTGTGGTTTATAAAACACACATCTAAAAAGTCACATATAGTTATCCTAATGCTCTTCCTATAATCCATATTAATTTGCACCTTACAGGCTCTCAAGTAAGCATTCCTTGAAATCTTCTCTTGAGTAACAAAAAGAATTTCCTTGGCTTTCAGAAAAGCTGAGTTTACATATCAGCCACCATCCTTTTAACTTCAGGTTAAATCTGCTTTCCCTTATGCTTATTGCACACATAAAATCAACAGGAGTAATAAATCTTTAGAAAATGTACTGACGGATTTCTGTGGACTGATTATTCAGCCTGAAGACTTAGGGTTTCAGGCTCCACATCTGAAAAAAATCCACAGCACACACATTATACCTGGAAGCATCTCTAATATTTGGCATTTCAAAGTAGAATAATATTCTTTTAAAAATAAATTTCAACTAGCTGAAATTAATTAAATTTAAAAAAAAAAATGTAAAGATGTCTTTTCAGATACATAACTCCAGTCAGTTGAAGTTGTAAGAATTGTATTATGTCACCTTTTCAAAAACTGAAGTGCTGTCTTGAAAGCAGTTCTTTTAGTCCCTCCCTACTCCACCTGCTCCAGAACTATATTCCTCCAGGGGTGATGATCTTTTTACAAATTTCCATACATGCTTTATTTAAAGCCAGTGTCTTCAATTTGTTCCTGGAACAACACTGACACCTATCTCAAACAGTTCTATTTCCTTCTGTTACATTTACTCCATTTATATATCAAACCCCAGCAACTGTACCCATCTCTGCTTTGCTAGACTAAATGAACAGCATTCATCTGTTCTTGTAAGGTAAAGCTCCATTCCCTTAATAATCTGAGTAGACTTCTTTGTTCCTTCTCTAGACTTGTATTCACTGTTCTTAACCAAGAATAGTAACAATTCCAGTGCTATTATTACAGAAGAAGCTTCACCATGGCAATAATACTGCTCTTTTGTATTAACAATACATTTCCCAAGCATCCAAAGGTCCTATTTGCCTTTTCACAGCCATATGGTATTGATGACACATCATCCTACATCTCAGTATAGCATCTAAGTTCAAACAAAAAAGTATCAAACTTCAAACTGAATGGTTTGCTCTACAGAAGGACAGGAAATTAGTGTAATTAGACACAACAAATGAAAAGGAAATACAGTCTCTAAATATCCCACTTCTAAGAAGTAATATAGCAAACATTTACATGAATGAACTTATTCAATATTCAGAATGTCAGCAGTACTATTTAGTTTATCTTCAGTGGGAAAGACATGAAATGGGCATTTGAAACTGCAACAGAAACATTGTAGTCAGTGGCACTGACGATCCTGGGGATGAAGAACCAGATTTCTAACTGTGCTTTGGTCTTACAAAATAATAAAAAAACAAACAAACAAAAAAACCACAAACCAAACAAAAAACAGAAGCACATCAAAGACAATGTTGATAAACCATTATTTAAGAGCTGTGGTTAGACAACTGACCACTGAAAATTAAAGGAAGCTGGATGGATAAATGATAGCCCAAATGCCTACAGTATTTTAATTTATCAAGCTCACATAGTAAGAATAAATAATAATAACAACAACAACAACAGTAATACTCTCTTTGTTCTCTACCTTATTTAATTTTTGTTGTTAAATCACACTTACCTTGGTTGGCAAGTGGCAGCTTATAATATAGAAAATAAAAACATTTAAATATTTTAAATAGATGGATTTAGTACTTTTATTGCCTATATCTAATCATCGAAAAGGCAAGAACCAGAGTATTCAGTCTCAATCCAATTGTGTCATGACATTCAGTCTGCATTTTATTTAGTCTTATGACAAACACTACTCCAAAGTACTAAAGATTGTCACACCAAAGGAAAAGCTGAGAATTTCTTTAATAAGAAAAGCAGTTTCTAGGTCTTTTCCAAGCATGTTATTCATGATACTTCACAAGCTCTGTAAAGTTAAGATATTTAAGTTCAGAATAAATTTTCAACCCCCAAAGTGACTCTAGGTGAACCTGCCCTACCTTGGCCATCTTTTCCATCTTCCTTAATTGAAATTTCTTAAATTTCTATTCTTTGTTTTTTCTATGTCAATCACGTTCTGGCTTCACCTCATTCTGCTAAACAATCTACAAGCATAACTGTGATGGGCAGCTGGAATAAGGTCCACCCACAATCTGAGTGGACGCAAGACTGGAACACTGAGCTACCCTGACCGTACCTGACTGTTTAGTCAAGATCTTCAATTAGGTTTATTAACTTATGATCTGCAGCTCAGTAATGCAATAAGTCTTCCAAAACCCACAAGCAGAAAAGTTTGTATATGAGAACATGACACCCACATACTTTACAAATCAAACACATTTGCTTCTCCCTTTCCTAATGACAAAACAAACTGAGAGCAAGTTTTGGCAGTAAGACTTTAGATACAACAATCTTCTCTCAGTAGTTATCCTCATGATTGTTTTTCCATTATTTCCCTACAAAACACAACTCTAATTTTTTGAACTAGCTTCTTTTACTTCTACCTATCTATCAACCAACTTCTATTTTTAACTTTCTCTCACAAGCCTTTCTTCCACCTTCATCTGTCCTTGACTCTTCTTACGCTAATCCTTGCTATATCCACATTGCTTATGTTGGTTTTCCTCCTTGACTTACTAAATAATTTTCGTTTTTCCCCACATCATCATAACTTGTAATAGTATTTTAAATTATGCTAATAACCTATTCTATTGTAATATACAAAGACCTTTTAATGCAGCCACAGTAATAAAATGGCATAATTCTTGTAATTTCAACCTAAATTAAAGTGAGTTTTAGTATGTTGTTGCCAACCTGCCCTGTGATTGCAGAAGAAGTCTCAGTCCTCTAAAATCAAAGCCTGTTATTTGCAAAATATGACACCTGGAGATCCCTATTACGTTTATAAAATATATCACATATTCTTCTGCTTATGAAATTATAAAAGTCGAAAAATATCAATACTCTTGAAAACTGATATGGCAGAAAAGAGCTGAATGCTGCAAAAGGCATAAAAAAAGGAGAGAAAGAATGTGATTGCAGATTTGTGTAAAGTAGCAAGGTGAAAGGTAAAGTTTGGCAATTTTTCCACTTGATATGCGATGCTATATGACAATAATTGACAAAGCAATAATCTTAGGGAAACTAGTCAAAGACACTCCTCTAGACTTCGTGTCTCAAGACTTCACAGTAACTAGAATACAACCACGATAAACCACACCTTCTCTAGGAGAAGTAGATTTGTAGATACTAAAATCAGTGTATTTGCACAGCAGGCACACTACGTCATACTTTCAGCTCTTGATACATTTTAAAAAAATGCTTAATTATAAAGTTTGCTAATTTATAGGATCATACTTCAGAAACAGTCTCTCAAGGGAAGCAGAAGTTAGTGTGATGTGCTTCATTACTGTTATCAGATTAATTCTGCTCCAGTGTGATCCTGTTCTGTTCCACACAGATTTCAAGTTACAGTTTAGCCATCACAATGATATCAGAATGTCTCCCAAGATTTCAATATGAAATATCATTAATATCTAGCCTGTGTGCATATTCTGAGCCATATATAAAGCCAGGCATTTTTCTCTGCTTAATCTTTCACTAACTGATTAAATTATACTGCTTCTAAAGCAACTAATATAAGTGACTTGTTATGAGTGGCATCTCACTGAAGAAAAACTGTGAATATAAAAACCTGAAGCCCTCTGGCTTCAGAAAAAGAATCTGAAAAGTATTATCCACCATTTTTTCCTAGCTGACTTTGTATCACACATTAAATGCATACATCTTATTTCTGAATTTTAGTATAATTACTTTTTTTTGGGCTATAAAACATAATAAGCTTTCCTCAGTTCTGTTGCATAATTTACAAGTAGCATATACTGTGCCAATGTATGTTGCAAGGAAACTCCTGCAACACTGGTGTTAGTACACATGGAAAGGTAGCAAAGTTTAAAACACCTTCACAATGTAACGTGCCTTCTCTGATGGAGAAGTTTTGATAATGCAATAAAGGCCAAAGAAAAATAAAATACTTATAGATCTGAGCCAATGTTTTCCAGGCAAGATTTTGTTTGCTGTTTAACACTTACTGGTCAGTTCTTAGTGCTCTCTCTTATTGGAAGAAAAAAGAAGACCGTCAAAAATTAAATTCTACCTCTGTGTCAAGAAATCCAGTTGTACTCAGTGGTCTTTTTTCTTCCAGCACTACTGTAGCAGAATTTATAGCCCAATCTTTTACTAAATCTTTCTGGTTCTCGTTGATAACAGGCCTATTATAATCCTGGCTGTCATCCACTCCAAATACCTGAAAATGAAACAACATTACATTCATTAACCCAATACCATCCTGATACAATGTTCAATGTTAATGGATGGATGGTGGCATGCTGAAGAGTGAACTTAAGTAGGTTTTGTTGTATTATGCTTATCTGTCATCTTGGTGAATTCTAAAAATTAAATATCAGAAATATCTACAGTAATTAAAAAAAAGAGTGGAAATCTATATTAACACCATGAAAATTCAAGGAACTGCTAGTTGGAATGGTCAGATATGAAAAAATGACACTTTAATGAAAGAAACAAAGGGTAAAAGCAAAATCATTAAAAAAACCCATTTTACCAATTAAGGAAAAAAACAATACTGGAACCACAAAATTTCCAATTTTTGCTACTACCTAGTGAAAACAAGAAATACAAATGCTTACATCTGCTACTAATATACTTATTGAATTATTTCTCTAATACAAACAAAATTTCAGGTTTTCATTTGTTAGGGACTTAGCAGATGTTAGAAGTCCACCAGGCCTCATGAACCATGTAGACTCATCTCATTCAATATATGACTTGCCACAGTTCTTTTACTACACTGTTTCCTAATGATGCTTATATTAATCCCTTCCACTTATGACAAAAATAATTTTCCCATGACATTTTAAAACCGTTGTTCAGGAAAAAAATATTGTAGAAAAATGTTATTACAACGGCAATTTAGTAATAAGGACTTAAACAGGAGAGCCAGAATACTATCTGTCAAATTTCTTGTGAGTCACAGATACTAAGGAACATGATTTCAGAATTGATGTATACTTCAGAGATATTTCAGAGAATTTTGTATCTTGGAAACATGTAATTTATAAAATTTTTAAATTTCTGCCTAACAAATTCACTACTCTACTACCAAGGACTTAGACATTAAAAAAAATTTACAGAATAAAATGAACCTCCCACACACATTAAAACTGGAAACTAAAAAGAAACTGTTAACACAGAAAATTGCTTTGTCTTATAGAAAGACAAAGAGAGGGAAAGAAGGAAATGATCTTCACAGATGTTATCCTCCTGTAAAAAATACTACTAGGGCAAAAGAGAAAAAGAAGTTCAGAATTATTTTTTCCCCAAAAGTGTTCTGTAATTCATGTTTGCACAGGAAAGTTTGAGCACTGGTCTACTACAAGGTTAGTGTGTTTAAAAATGGATTCACCACTAGATGGCCACAAACTATAATGTTAGTTTCTGAGAAGCAGACAAAGGAAAAAATAATAATTAAGCACCCTGTCATTCAAATGTTTAATTGTCCAGAAAGACTCTGCTATAGCATTTATACATTTATACCTGAAGAAGCTTTCTCAAATGCATTTGTATTTCGCTCTCACAAAAAAAAGCCTGCTTTTCTGCCATTTTACACTGCAGGCATGCTCTCCAATTTTCAATTTATACAAAAATTATGTCTGGATACACTTAATTAGAAAATGCTTAAGAGTACTTAAAAAAATGTTTATTTACTTTTTTTTAAAAAAAGAATGATATGAAAATTTTTTTATTTAATGATATGATTTGCACAGTTGTAGCAATTTTTGAAGATGCAAACCAATTATCATCCACTGACTCTTTTCTTTTACTATATCACTATTCTGCAGACACTTTCTTTGTGTAGCACAGTTCCACTGATTACAAGTTTTACATGTTCTTTTAAATGAAAGGAAATTCTGTTTTTATTGCATAAGCACCTGAAGGAAAATATTAATTCCACACTTCCATATCTAATCAGGGCTACAGGAGCAAATTGCTGCCTGTAAATTGCTTCTTATTATCTGACAGCACATTGATTTACCATTGCAAATTTCTTTACTTGTATCACAAGTAACAGCATCTAATGCAAATTTCTTGTATCACAAGTAACAGCATCTAATGCTTCTTTCTTTCAATCTTACTTTTTCTGATACTGAACTCCTGTTTAAGCAAATTGGGTTATTCTTCTGATATTACTGAAATTACAGCAAAACCAAATCTGAATGTTGCCTATTTTTTTTTCTGTGAAAGATAATATGGGTAGCAATAAGGCCCATATAATAGATTTACCTCCTAATAGTACCACTAATCAGAAAAGGTAAACAAAATATTTGAGGACAGTATTATTAGACAGGGAAAACACTCGATAAATGTGTATCATTCTGGAAAGTTAAAAGTTTTCTGCCCTGCTTTGCCCAATCATTTATTTTTATGAAATTATATTTTAGCAGGAAGATTACATTACTTCATCCTGAATACTTCAAGTTTCATGAAGTTACAAAACAAAAAAAACCAGGATGACAATTTTCACAGAATCTCTGTAAGCTGACTGATGGAAAAATCTAGACACAGCACCAAGTTGCACCATTACACGGGGTTCCTGCAGGGTCCTGCCACATTTATAATGGTAGAATAGTCAGAAATATGGTATAAATTGTGGTGGTGGTATTTAAAAATGACTATTTTATTGTTATGAAGCATGGAACAATTTCCATTGCAAATCAGGACATTTTGAATGGCAAGGGAATGACAACAACACTTGCTGTAAAAAGTCAAGCCCCATCTAGGAAATGTAGTCAAAATAATTTTGTTTAACCTGCAATCCAGTTGACCTCTTAAGTAAATGGATTAAACAGGTGACAGACTGCATTGGTTTGGTTCCTTCAGTACAAGAGAGACACTGTCTGAGAGACACTGTCTAACCAGAAGAGCTCAGCAGGGACCACCAAGATTGTCAAGACTAGAGCCCTTTACCCGTGGGGAAGAGTCTGGGGAAGCTGGGCTTTAATCAGTTTGGAGAAGGGAAGGTTTTGGGGTTCCCTAATAGCAGCCCCCCGTACCCATGAGGAGTGTATCAAGATGGCAGCCAGGCTCTTCACAGTGGTGCATGGCAGGAAGACATGGGATAACTCGAATAAGTTGAAACAAGCAAGGTTCAGACAGGACAGCCAAGCAAGGTTGCCTAGTCTTTGCCACTGTAGGCTGTGAAGCCCCAAATGGATAAATCCTGGGCAACCTGTCACTCAAAGGTGACTTTACTTTGAGCAGGGGTTTGAACTAGAGATCTCCTAAAGTCTTTTCCAGCTTATGTGATTCTATGATCCTTAATAACAGTGATCTTACATAATAACTTAGCATCTCAGGTCTTTTAGTGCAGAGAGCCAGTACTGAGAGAGCCCCAAATATCATAAATCAGCAGGGAAAAGGGGAGTTCCTAACAGATACTTTTCAATTTCAAAACAGGGAACAGTAAACCCTCCAAAGATCCCCTTTTACATTCTGTGGTTCAACCAGTAAAACAAAGGAACAAAACACTAGGCTAAAACTATAGCAACTCCCTGGTGGTAAAACTATAGCACCATCCTGTTACTGGAATGCAAAGTTGGCCTGAAAAATACAGAGGCAAAGTAAAAATAACTGATGGCAAAATAACTGCATCTTAATGAAGATATACATAAATTCCATCACTTTATGTCAGCAATAGTTTTTTCAATAGTCTGAGAATAAAACTTTATCTCTATAGGCCAGTAATTTTAAAAATTATTTATCGAACCGCAAACAAGAATTAACAAAACCTATGTAAATCAACACAAACAAGATGCAATCATTGCAAAAAGTACTGGCATATTTTTGGAGACAGCTTGAGCTACAGGACCAAGTCTGAGCACATGGCTTGCCCTGTTTGGCAAGGGCTAGTTTTGTAGAAAGCAGAGTAATCTGTTTTGGCAGGCCATACACACCTCCCCTGCGAAAACAGATCATGACTCAGAACTCACCTGCTTGTCACCATAGATGAAACACAGCTCTCACACAAGCTAGCTTTAGTGATAGGGATTGTCTCTCCCTTCCCTCACTCCCCTGGCCCCCAGTGAATTAATACTTTTTGTAGCATAGATGAACTATACTTGAGGTGAATATAATGATTTTAGAGCTATCAAAAGTGATGATTCTTTAAAACTACAGAGAGCTTTTTTCTCTCTCAATATATGGAATACCTTCTAGAAACTAAAAAAAAAACTGGTCAGAAAAAAATAATGGCAACCATTTTTCTGAATCAAAAAGACAATGGGTTAGCTAAAAAAACCCACGCCCAAACTCCCACTTGATGTTTTCCTTATATGCTTTTAAAAAGTTCTTGACTAAGAAAACTTTTTCCAGTTGCATCTCATTCACATGCCTTTCAAAGTTCATAATGCCTAGACTTTATACTTACTTTAAGTTTAAACTATTTCATGGCTTATAATTATTCAGTACTTAACGAAAACAGACCTAGTTCCTCATCCAAATCATTACTGAAGATACTGATATCAATGGGAAAAAAACAGTCTTCTTTGAGACTTCTAACAGATATGTTCACTCGGTTTTATAGCAAATTATGTATATTAGAATGGGGATTCTACTGTTCTCCACACATACTGACTAAACAAAACATTAGAAAGCATTTCTAAGAGCATAAACACAAACTAGTAGCACCAATTTTATTCAAAATACGTATCTGAAGAATCCTATTTAGTTTTAAAATTTTGAGTTACTAAAGTTTCCCCAATAGTCTTACTGCTGTAGCCTTAATGTGAAGGATATGCAGTAATTTCTAATAATATTAATAAAATCACAGAAACCCAACAAATAAATGAGATTCTAGATGCAATTCAGAGAGTTTTAACTAGGAACCTATTTATTAATGATGTTATTTGAAAACTAAAATTATTTCAATAATTCTTTTTCTATTCTTTCAGATCCTAAGGACAGACACAATCTGGAAACATATATTTGAAACAGATATGATTTACATTATATTAATGCTATCAATTTCAGTGCAGGCAATCTGTATAAAAGGAACAGAATAAAACCTAAGGACAAAAAGTGTACAAAAGGGAATTCAAAGATGAACAGTTAAAAAAGAAAAATAAATCAAAGCTGAGCACAGGTAATGGACAAGGGGCTACACTGCACAGTGCATTAATGAAAGGATCATGGCAAAATAAAACAAGGAACAAGTGACTAGATTTGAAATAA